TATGATGTCCGTAAAACTTAGATTTTTTAAGAAAATTGTCTGTTTTTATACAATAAAAAAATTTGACAACAAATTGAATTTTTTAAATTTAAAAACTGAGTATGCAGATTTGTTAATCTGTTAAAAATTAGCATAGAACACCTTTCCGAATTAAAATTAATGATTTTTTGGCTTAGTTGTGCGTTTTTAAAACTATGATTTGTGGGGAAAAATGGTCTGTTTTTATACCTTTTTGCAGGGTTTTATAATTTCAGACAGAAACTAAAAATAGAATCAACAAACGCAGTACGCAGATTTAATAGTTCAATAAAATCTAGCACAGAAAAGCTTTCCGAATTAAAATTAATGCAATTTCGGCCTAATTATGATGTCCGTAAAACTTAGATTTTTTAAGAAAATTGTTTGTTTTTATACCTTTTTGCTGGGTATAATTTAAGTCAGAAGCTTGTAACGCTGTGAAGAAATCATTTCCGACCCTACAAACTATATATATTCTTGATCAGCATCAAAAGCTGAATCGATCCAGCCATGTCTGGTCGAAAAATAAATTTTTGAAATTTTTTCGAAAATTGAAAATTTTATAAGGGGTTACATCATTAAAATTGTCAAAATTTGACAACAAATTGAATTTTTTAAATTTAAAAACTGAGTATGCAGATTTGTAAATCTATTAAAAATTAGCTTAGAACAGCTTTCCGAATTAAAATTAATGATTTTTTGGCTTAGTTGTGCGTTTTTAAAACTATGATTTGTGGGGAAAAATGGTCTGTTTTTATACCTTTTTGCAGGGTTTTATAATTTCAGACAGAAACTAAAAATAGAATCAACAAACGCAGTACGCAGATTTAATAGTGCAATAAAATCTAGCACAGAAAAGCTTTCCGAATTAAAATTAATGCAATTTCGGCCTAATTATGATGGCCGTAAAACTTAGATTTTTTAAGAAAATTGTCTGTTTTTATACCTTTTTGCTGGGTATAATTTAAGTCAGAAGCTTGTAACGCTGTGAAGAAATCATTTCGGACCCTACAAACTATATATATTCTTGATCAGCATCAAAAGCTGAATCGATCCAGCAATGTCTGGTCGAAAAATAAATTTTTGAAATTTTTTCGAAAATTGAAAATTTTATAAGGGGTTACATCATTAAAATTGTCAAAATTTGACAACAAATTGAATTTTTTAAATTTAAAAACTGAGTATGCAGATTTGTTAATCTGTTAAAAATTAGCATAGAACACCTTTCCGAATTAAAATTAATGATTTTTTGGCTTAGTTGTGCGTTTTTAAATTATGATTTGTGGGGAAAAATGGTCTGTTTTTATACCTTTTTGCAGGGTTTTATAATTTCAGACAGAAACTAAAAATAGAATCAACAAACGCAGTACGCAGATTTAATAGTGCAATAAAATCTAGCACAGAAAAGCTTTCCGAATTAAAATTAATGCAATTTCGGCTTAATTATGATGTCCAAAAAACTTAGATTTTTCAAGAAAATTGTCTGTTTTTATACCTTTTTGCTGGGTATAATTTAAGTCAGAAGCTTGTAACGCTGTGAAGGAATCATTTCCGACCCTACAAACTACACATATTCTTGATCAGCATCAAAAGCTGAGTCGATCAAGCCCTGTCCTGTCGAAAAATAAATTTTTGAAATATTTTTATTTTGAACAATGAAAATTTTATAAGGGGTTACATTATTAAAATTGTTAAAATTTGACAAAAATTGAAATTGAATTGATGCTTATCATGAATATATATGATTTATAGGGTCGGAAATGACTTTTTAAGATATTGAGAAGCTTCGAACTAAAATTATAATACCCTGCAAGGGAAAATAGATTCAACAAAATATTATTTCTTCCTGTGGATCAGGGATACACTTAACCTAAGTTCTGTTCTGATGACTGTTGCTGTTGTTACTGTTGCTGCTGCTGGTGTGCCTGCCATCCGACTGCAGTGCGCTGCTGCATACTAATTTTCCACCACCCTGCCACCGCCCACTGCCATCTCGTCCTCCTTCTCCTGCTTCTGCTCCTCCTCCTGCAGCTTCATCTCCATCCCCATTTTCGGATCAGAATCAAGCATCTCTAACCCCCAATCCCCGCCTGCCAAGACCCAGCCGGGCGATGTGGTGGTCTTGGCATCATTTCGTATTCATACCAAGCACCAATTTCTCGTTGTTGCTGCTGCTGCGCTGCAGTTATTGTTGTTGTCTGCTATTAAGTGAAATAAAAGTAAAAATGCAATAAAAAATGTTGGCCGCCTCTCTCGTTTTGCATTAAAATTGCATTACAATTGCCATGGATGGTCGTCGTCTTCGTTGTTGTTGCTTTTATTATGGCAATTGTTGCGGCGTTGTTGTTGCTCAAATGAAATCCAATTAGCTGACTACAAGGCCTACCAGCAGCAGAAGCAGCAGCAACAGCAATGACACTGCGAAGCAAGGAGAAATTCTCATTCCTTCGCATCATGACTCCAAGAGTCCTTTTTGCCGGTGTGTACTCAGTGTGTGTGTGTGTGTGTGTGTTGTTGCGATTGCGAGTATTTTAATGTGGCTCTGCGCGTGGGCATTTCAATGCGATTCAATATGCAGTAATTACCTGCTGCTGCTGCTTTTCTTTCTTTTTTTTTTTTTGGCCATGATTTGTTCGTGTCTGACACAAAAACATGGCCAGTTAAGTGCCAAAATGAATATTTATAACAGTTATGTCTAGAAACGGTGTGTGTTATTATGATAAGTGAACAGTATTTTATAGGAGTCTGATATTTAATAATTGTGCCAATGTGAAAACCTTAGGACCCGAATCCGTATGTTGGTATTGTTTATGTGACAATCTCAATTATAGCTTTAGTGTAATATTATTAAGATGTTACAAGCTACTAATTCCCTTTTAGTTTCTTTAAACATTCCACTTGATTTTCCTCCTTTTGCAGGTATAGCTTGTAGATTACAGATCACCGATAACGGGTCTTCTTTTTAGTGTAAGAGAGTCTTAAAAAGAATACTTGATTAAAACACAGTGCTGAAATAGACGGGTTTCTGTATCATTTGTTTGATAAGCCATTTTAGGCCAAGGTCTGAAGATCCAAACTTTGGTCAATTAAGCCTGTATTATTTTATTTTTTAATGAACGTTGTGTCCCTTCTAACACATGGGTATCATAGTCATTGAAAAAACTAATGTGCATTATACTATGTTGAAAATGTTCTTCTCCTTAATTGAGTTCTTATATAAAATCTGAAGTACACAGAGGGCCGACCAACTTTCAGAGTCTTACGGTCAATTAAGGAGGTAGAATTTCCAACTTATTCTAGCATCAAACTGAAGGTAGTTGTGTTAAATGCCTAAGCATTATTTCTGATAAAAGAGGTTTACTATCTTCTAAAACTATTGCAGGTTCAAGCCCAACTATTTTCCTTGGGATACCGAAGCCTCTCAGTTAAATTATTTTGTTGGCCCTAGCTTATGAATGTTGTAGGATAATCCTGGTAATAGTAGTGAACTAAGACCTTCAGAATCCTTCAAGTTACATATTTTCCTCTTTGAAAATATGAAGTAGCTGCACCAATTCAAGCTTACTCACATTCCATTACAACTTTTCTGCCTCTGGAGTAATGAAGAAGGCACATGCCCATACACACACACACTTCCTGGGCATTTGCAGTCGAATTACAACAACACCTGAGCACCTGAGCGGCTGAAAGGAGCGTGGCTCGTGCCCAAATTGCCAAGGAAAACTGTCAATTAACCTGCGAGGTGAACTTGGGGAAAATGCCAGAGCTGTTTCTGGTGATGCTGATGCTGCTGCATCCGCCGAAGATGCAATTTCCATTTGCATGCCACCAGGTATGGCCACTGCAAATGGATTGGATTCGTGTGGTTTTAGCCAGAAGAGTTCCTGCTTATCGCAATCGCCGCCTGCCAAACGCCGAATGCCAAATGCCAGGCGATAGCGCAGAGAACGCTTTTGCGCTAATAAAGATCTCGCGTAGTCAGGGACATTAGGAAGTGGTGCAGAGGCTCCTGCTCTCGGTGCCCCGCTGTTGCCCTTCTCAAATCCGCTGCTTTGTGAACTCAAGCTGACAGAACGCTATTTCCAATTGTGCTATTAATCTGCCACATTTGCACTTCCACAGGAAAGAGTCTGGCAGGCTGGTCGGCTATCTCACTTGCTCGCTTACACACTCTATGGTATTGCCAAGGCAGAGCAAGTGAGATGCTCTACGAGTGCCAGAGTGAGAGGCAGCGAAGGCAGCTTGGGGCAGCTGGGGGGCAGGGGGAGGGTAACGCTTGGCTAACCCGAAAATAGAAACAATCAAAATAAAAATACATTCTCTTCATGCTCTCTCGTCTAATAAAAAACCCCAAAAGCAAAACGTTTTCCATTTAAAATGTCGTCGCAAAAGCCTGAGACTCCCCCGGAGCGCCCCCCTTGGCAATGGCCAATGGCAGCTTGGCCAGGCCACGCCCCCTTCCCCAATTGCCGGCCAGTGCTGCCCATCGGCGGGCAGAGCGAAACCTGTTCTTCCCCGAGCGAGAGGCCGCGCATGCGCTGCGAGAGAGCGAGACGGCGACACAGGGCGGAGCGGACCAACCAGAAGAGGAAGGCCCAAGTGCTGGGCAAAGGGCGGGTGGTGGTATTATGGTAGGTTAGGTTCAAACAAGGTGGCTAACTGGCTCGTTAACCAAAATAGGAAGGAAGTCGACGCCGGCGTCGCTGCTGCTGTCGCTGTCCGCACAGCGGGCAACTGGTTAGACCCGTTTCCGGCGCGGTGACTCTCACTCCAACCTCCTGGAAACACCAGCCAGCAGCGCCCGAGCAGCAGACGCGGCAGCGAGCAACGCAGCGCCTCGTCCGTCGGCACAATTTGATTGCATTTATGAAAAGCGTTTTCGCCCGCTAGCACGCGCCCGCTCCCAGCTTCCCAGCTCGCAAATTCGGAATCCGTGGTCCGTGATCCGTACCGTAGTTCCCAGTGCTCCGTTCGCCATTCGAGTCGCCCTTAATCGCGGAAATCAATCTGAAATTAATTAAACATTTCTGGTGTGTGCCCTTTAGTGCATTAAATACAATCTAAAACAATTAATAAAGCGAGTGCCGAGAGAATTAAAAAATAGTGTAAAGACACAGTGAAAAGAATTACCAAATTGGCGCCACTAGTTGCCAGCATGTCCAGCCACGAGGAGGATGACCACGAGCACGAGAATGAGCATGGCGACGATGTCGAGGAGCAGGAGATTCATGTGGACGTGGACTCCGATTCCCGCATGTCCTGCGGCAGTGGATCCGATGTGGATATGGACGGTGGCAGTTGCTACGATGAGTCCGAAACGCCATTGAGGTAAGGATTAAGGATCAAGAAGGAGGAAAGCTTTAAATTTTAAGGAGTTTTCATTAAAATGGGCCTGGAAAAAACATTATTGATGTCAGGTTATTTCAAAGATTAGTTAGAAAGCTGAACTTTTTGAAAATGTTTATAGATTCACCTATAATTAATTTAAAACTCTTACTAATTATTTAGTGGGTAAGCTTTTAAGCCTGTAATAATAAATTTTAATTTCTTTCAACTTGTTTGCCTTATTTGTTGTAATGAATGTTTATAGGCTGAGTTTATATTATCAAACATCTGTCAAAAATATACTAAATGTATAGAAAATAAGTCCAGACTATTCATTGCTCCGTTTAATAACCATAAAAATAAATAGTATCATTTTGGCTTGGTTTTAATCATTGAAAGTTTATAAACCTTATTCACAATTTCAATAAATTATTTTATCGTTTTAATTCTCCCCTTATTAGAGGAAGGAAATAGGTAATCTGCTCAATTGTTCGCTGAGTCATAGATTATAATAGTTTTTAATTTGTTTAGAACTGAGTTTTTCAAAAGTAATATATTGAATTTACTTATTTAGTAACAGAAAGAATAGGAGTATTTAATATTTTATTTTTCATTCAGAAACAACACAAATATTCAATGCAGCTTGGACAACTTTTTATTTAGAAATTCGACTAAGTCGGATTTTATGGCCTCATAAATGGTCAAAATAGTATTAAGGCAGAGAAAAGCTATTTACATTTATTATTATGTGTTCATAACTCCCACTGTTTTATTGTCAAACGTATTTTAACTGACAATGCTCACAAAATCCTATTATACGGATCAAATTCTCCGGCTTAACGCCATTAAAATGCCCGGACAAAGTCTCCATTGTCCGTGGGCACAGACAAAGGTGCATCTTTCCGCCGACAAAAGTGGCTAACAAGCTGCCAGAATGTCGAGCAGGCCAACTGCTAACTGCTGCCTCCCATTCAAGCCGCCGGTGTCCGGCTATGAAGAACGGTGTGAACAAACCTCTTAAACGCTAATGAATTGACCACAATGCCACCAAAAGAATCAAGTCGAAAATGTCTCATAAAGTCTCAAAGAAACTCCCTGAATTTACATAGGGCCCGAAGGGAAAGAGTTTCGAATGGATGGCGACGATAAAACGCACATTAGTAAGGCGCCAAAAACGCGCCGTGATAAGACTCTTCTTTTGGGCCCAAATGAGTTCGATTCTGGGGTTCGATATTTCGGTTCGAATGCGAGACAAAGACGAAATCGTTTGCGGGATTAACATTTTAATAGAGATCGCCATAAAAATGCTATAAAACTCGCGTTCCAGCGAATGTAGAGCACCAGATAGGCAACAGAAATATGTATGTTTACTTATATCTTTTGGTCTTTGGTTTTTTGGAAAGTGTGTGCTTGTGATGGCAACTTAAAAATCATTGTTACGATTCCTGTTCCAAATGGACTTTTATTTTGTTTCTGTTATTTATTTAATTTTTTTGTTAAATTAAATGCCGTGCGTGACTTGTTTTTGGTGCGTCAATTGATGGCATTCGATGATTTATAGGCACGTATTAAATGCCTCTAACGGCCGTCAGCATTTGCATAATTACTTCATTTTCAGCCACATTGCGTATACGCAACGGTGGCCACTCGAGTTCTGCATGTCGTCGTCTCGCACGGCTTATCCGCTCGCGTGGGTTTTTGGTTAGTGGTTTCGAGACTGGTCCAAGCTGCAGGCAGCCTTAATTATTACCAATGTTCTCAGGCTTTTCCGCTTATCAGGCGACACTTTTTAATGAGCCCGCACCTTACAGCCGTCAGTGTATGTATATGTATGTATATTTCCCCATCTTCTCCCCAGTGAATCGCTACAGTCCGAGCAGACGCGCTCCTCGTCCAGCGAGAATCTGCCCTTCAGCATATCACGCCTGCTATCCAAGCCCTTCGAGACCAGTCACCACCACCATCACCACCACAACAACAACAACAACACCCAGCACAGCAGCAGCAGTCCCGGCTCCAGTCACAACAACAACCACGGCGAAAAGGGCGAGGAGAAGGAGCTGCTGCAGGCGGAGGATCAGGATCTGGCCGCCTATAAGCTGGCCACCAGCATTGCCAATTCGACGTACGGAAGTGCCGCAGCTTTATATTCGTATCCGCATCTCTATCCCTCGGCGGCGGCAGCGGCCGCTGGTCATGTGCTGCGTGTGCCGCCCCAGCGAACGCCTCTGACCTGGGCGCTACCGCCGCTGCATCATGCGGCGCTGGCTCATCAGGCGGTCAAGGATCGGCTGGCAGGTGAGTGAAGCAGAAGAAGAAGGAGTCTGAATTGGGTGGAGTGGCGAAGTGAAGTGATGTCCGAGTCGAAGGCCCCATGTCGCGGTGGCCCATGTTCGCCGAGATCTCTCGCTCCCCCAATGACCCGCGGTGGCAATTGCTACTGTTCCCCAAATAAGCGCGATCAGAGAAGTCTTTTAAGGCAACAGGCCTATCGGCACATATCATTGCTGGTCCAAAGCACAGATACACAGAGGGAAAATGTGGCTTAAATTAGGAAGAAATATTTAATCTTAACCCAAAAATTCATTTAATATTGCTCGAATTCTTTCGTGTGGCTGAGGAAAACTATCAATTTTTGCTACTACAGAGTACACTACAATCAAAATTATAATCCCCTTAAGTGTGATTCACCGACTTTTCCCTCAGTGCACACACACACGAGAGCCCGGAACGCTAAAGTATAAAAACATGTTTGCCTTCAAATGCGCAATCGCAGCTTAAGTTAAAAACTTAACTCTGAGCCACCGCCCAGAAGCGACACAGGAATGGGATGTGCCTTCTGATTTGCATACGCATGCGCGCCTGTATTTGTATCTGTATCTATCTCGGCCCCTCATGAATCCGCATCTGTATCTGCATATCCGTATGCATCTGCAGAGCTCCCTGCCTGTGCGTGGATCCTGTGGCTGCCTTTTGTTAATTTGTTTACATTATGAGCTTCACTTGTAGCTACAAGCGGCTGGCACAGCGCGAGCCCTTTGAAATAATGAGACGGCGTTGATTTTATTACGCCTCGGTAGCCAGTCGATCCCGATTGGTATCGGGTCCTGTATAACTCATAATATTTGGGCCTTTTTTTCGGTCATGCGGAAAAGCTTCTTAGGCCCCGCACTGCGGCAATCTGATGCGCTTTTATGGCCAACATCCGCTCAGTGGCAGGGCTCCTTCTGACTTCTTTTTTCTTTTTAGTTATTTTAATGAGCTGGTTTACATGACTTTTTAATTTCGCGCTGGTCCCGAAAGGGAATTAATTACGCATTGGGCGGTCGCAGGGCTCAGCGCGAGAGTTGGCTGTCCTCGCCGGCTTATTTATCGCCGCATACCGCACTTCACATTTGAGTCCAACTGACATGGTCAGCTTTTAATTAGCCAGTCGAATGCCAGCGGTTCGTCGGAGGGATATATGCCAACGAAGGAGGGGCGATCGATGGGATCAGTCGGTCGGTCGGTCGGTCCACCTGAGGGAGGCACACTTATGAGGCCGCCGGGTGATCCAAGTTTTCTGGATCCGCTGCCATCCGTTTCGTTCCGTCTCGTTTCGTTGCATTTTGTCAACATCTTTGGCTCCTCGGCAACTCTTCGTCATCGTCAGCGCCGTCGACCGGGTCTGTGTCTCGTTGTGTTTATTGTGTCGCTTGCCTTGTGCTGATAAGCTGGCGCCTTGGCTTTTTTCATTAACAAGACAAACGAGCGTCCAGCCCCGGTTCCGATCCCAGCCCCTTTCAAAGTGGTCCCCTCCCCCTCCTCCTCCTCCTTTGGGCAGGCGAGGGCTCTTAGCGCCATATGATTAATAACCATTGCATGTTAATTTTCGTTATTTTTTGGACACAACGTCGCAGCGGATGCCAATTTCTTTTCGGCCATGCAGAGCTACCAGCGTTTCACTAATGCAATTTCGAACCAGCCATAATATACCCAATTTTGGTTGGGGTTTTGTCACGATACTTGCGCACACGAATGTCCGCCGGAATGATATGGCGATGAGGTTGGAGAACAAAATTTTGTTTGGAAAATTTTAGGAAATATTATACTAGATCTTGTACTTCCAACTCTTTCAGTTTTTGATGAAACTAAGATAGGCAAAACTGTTTAATTTCCATATTTAAATTATTATTATTATCGCTAGCAACCATAGTTTTTCGACAAGAATCTTTCCGGCAGAATAGTGATAATCCAAATCACTAGCAAAGGTCACAGCGAGGCAGCTCCTGGAAAAGCCAAAAGTTGCGGAGGGAGTGTCAAAACCAGGCCGAGCCACAGGCCGCCATCAATAATGTATGCTAAAAGCTTTTTGCATTATTTTACGTATTTCTGGCAAGGCATCTTGGCCACAACCGTACACACACACACACACACACACCTACTCCCACACACCTAGCGCCGTGTGTATCTTTAAGATTCACCAACATCATAAATAAGAATGGCGGGGCAGGAGAAAGCCGGGAAAGCTATAAAATTATGCTTATGCTGCAACCCTCTAAGCCGGAATCCTTAAAGGATACACATGCCACACAAGCTGCGGGATATATTTGAAAATCCCAAGGATGCCTTCCGCTTATGTGGTGCGATAAATGGCTTTTTATTGAAATTGATATTGCCTGAAATATTCAAATGATCGGATACCCTCACGACCTCAGCTCAGGGGAAATTTACGCCAGGTCTGCTCTTTGGGTTTTCCGCTCCGAAAAAGGGGTCTCGGGAAAATTCGCAATAAGAAGCATGATTTGTCAGCTTAACACCCGCAATACATTCGATGGCCTCTGATGGCTTTTGACAGCGCATCGCCATTTTCTTAAGGCTTTCCAACACGTACACTTGTCCGTATGGGAACCCAACTGAATTCGAAATGGACCGAATCAAATCGATGAGTTATATTTACATTGAAGAGGTTTTCCTACTTAGGAAAGTTTTGCAAGCATATCTGTATTGGATATATATGTAAATTATGAAACATTTTTTGCTACATCAAATTGTTTTTGGGTTTCAAGTAGGTTAGGTAAACTTTATACATTTTTATGGTTCTATATTTGAAATCATTTGTATGGAAAATATATTGACACACAGGCTATGTAAAACAAGCTTATAAAAAGGGAAATAAGACTAAAATCTAACACATTTCAGAGATATTTTAAATAAGCTTTTATCAGCATTAATTTTTCACTAGAACTAGACAGATATTCCGTAAAGAATTTTTCCCTCTTAAAAGCGTATTCCTTCAGCTTTATGAATAATTTAATTGCAATCAATATCGACTGATATTATTTACCCATCGACTGACGTGTCTCACCGTATTTGAATAATTCATCAATTAGTCTCGCTGTCTTGACTTCAAATCACTTGGCCTCAAATGACTGCTGCTAGCCAGGCAATTTCTCCGTGAAATTGGCAAAGCCCAGTTCTCCATTGACCTCATCTGCGGAGTCAGTAGTCTGTGAGCCGGTTTCCTAATTGCCTCTGTTGTTGCTGTTGCTGCTGCTGGCAGATCGATCGCCTTAACATTTTGTTGCGCACTGTGCCCGCCTCTTATCGCACCCAATAAACAACAAAGCACACACAACGGCGGCTGGCAGGAATTTTAAAAGGTTCAGCGCCAGAGCCTGGCTCAGCCACCGTTCGACCACTCGCCCAGATACTGACCGGGATGCGGACTCGGAGTCGGACACTGGGTCACTTACGCGCGTCCTTCGAGCGCGACTTTATGACTCAACCCGAATGGAAATTGATGTCGCGTGCTTTGTCTACAAGGCGCTGCGATAAGGGTTCCTGCTAGACCGCCGCCGCCAGAAACCGAAACCTCAATCCCTGGCAATTAGGCAGCGAGTCAGCGGCCTCCAAATTGATTTCGCAGCGGGAGGGAATGGCCCGAGTTCCTAGGTAGCAGGTAACAGGTACCGAGTGCCGCTAAGTACTCGCAGCCTCGCTGCCGCACAGGTGCCGTCGCTTAACTCCGGAAGCGGCATTCGGAAATGGCCAGTTATCTAGGAATTTATTGTTTGCTAATTGCCCGCCAGGACACACACCACACGCAGGAGTAGGGCAAATGGGGGAAAACTATATTACTCCTTGAGAACCTAAAGTATTATCCTTGTTAAGTACTCACTCAAAATCCCTAATTACAGCTGCCTTCCCCATCGCCCGACGGATCGGACATCCCTACCAGAATCGCACTCCGCCAAAGCGAAAAAAGCCGCGCACATCCTTCACGCGCATCCAGGTGGCGGAGCTGGAGAAGCGGTTCCACAAGCAAAAGTATCTGGCCTCCGCCGAACGAGCGGCCTTGGCCCGTGGTCTCAAGATGACCGATGCCCAGGTGAAGACGTGGTTCCAGAACCGACGCACCAAGTGGAGGTGAGTAACGTTTCGATTCGTTCCCCCAGACTCCTTGGAGCCCCTGCTGGGCTAGAGGCAAAAAAATCAATACCCCATCCCCATACCCATTTCTCAGTGTTTTTGGAAGTGCTGACAGCTTGACACTTACCCTCTTCTATGCGCCCCGCCTTTCGGTTTTTTTATGTACCGTTTTAAACTACAATATGCACAAAAGGCTTTTGTTAAAAAGCAGGAATATTAAAAAAACAGGAGCAGGGATAGTCGAGCCAGAAGTACTCTATCATCTTAATATATTTAGTTTTGTTTTGAAATACTACAATTTTATGATATATTTAGATGTTAGAAGTTCAGAAATACACCCTGATTATGAATATATTGTTATCTTAAACCCTCCATAAACTTTTAAGCTAATTTCAATATAGACTAGAACTAGATTGATTTTCTTAGTCCCAACAAAAACCATAAATTACAAGGAGCTCTAGCTATTTTTGTGCCACATAGTATATGCTAATTCCTATATACCCCAACTAGGAAATAGGGCCACAAAGACCGGCGTGCATAAGCGGGGAGTAAATGGCTCATACAATATGCATGAGCACATTAAACGAGCAACACACAATAAGCAGCCCCAAGGATACGGGGGAGTGTGTATTTACGAGGCTTACTGGGGGGTAGCTGCATTTCGCAGCCACAAAGAGAGCTCTAGTTAAAAAACAAGCTAATTGGCAAGGCTTTGTTTATATAGTATTATCATTTAACAGCTTAACACTGGGATGAAAGTCGATGACTTATAGAATGAATAGTTGATACAAAATATCAAGGCATATTTTAAATATGCAGAAATTATAATTTGCTTGAAACGCAGTGAAAAAGTCAATTCCGACCCTAAAAACCATAAATATTCTTGATAAGCATCAAAAGCTGAGTTGATCAAGCCATGTCCAGTCGAAAAATAAATTTTTTTAAATTGTTCGAAAATTGAAAATTTTATAAGGGGTTGTTACATCATTAAAATTGTCAAAATTTGACAACATATTGAATTTTTTTAAATTATAAAACTCAGTATACAGATTTGTTAGCCCTATGAAAACTAACATAGAAAAAGTTTCCGAATGGAAATTAAAAAATTTTGGCAGTTATGATATCTTAAAATCTATGATTTACACAAAAAATTAGTATATAAAAATATGTATGGTGGTATACAAAGTCCAAAAAAGCAAACGCTTGCCAAGAGATATATTAAATATGTTTCTTTTGATTTGCAACAATATCCAAATCGATAACGAATAAAACATAAAACATTCATAAATTTAAATACGGTTATACAAACATTTAAATCTATATTTCTATGGCTAACTGAAGGGTATAACAACTTTGGCATCTCGAAGTTAGCTTCGTATTTTGACCCAATAATTTGTAATAAACTGTTTTCTAAGATAAGTTTCTTATTGGTTATTAATAATAATTTCTACCTATTAATATTTGGTGGCTTAGTGTAGACTTTCACTTAGCACACCCATGTAACTACTGTGCTGCCATGTGGAAATTATAATTCTGATTTGTGTACTAAACCGGATTCATACATGTACACACATTCGGCATGCAAATGACAATTTATTTGGAACAGCAGTTCATAAATATATCCCCAATTTATGAAGGCATTGATGCGTTGAGGGCTCGATGGCGTGCAGCTAATTGTTTTCTACTTTATTACGGCCGAGTAAAAGTATTTGAATATGAAATAATTTGAGCTGACGCATTTGGATAGTCTTTCTATTCATAAGCGATTACCGACGATCATAATGATGATGGCAAATGGCGGCTAAATGGGCAAAGTTTCCAACATTTCCCAGCGGACAAGGAGAGGAGAGCAGAGCGGTGGGAAAGCGGGAGGGACGGCGCTTAAGAAGCGTTAATTGCCGCTTAGCAGGCGGCGGCATTTTTAGAGCCAAGGCAACGGCAGTCCTCAGCCAGTCCTACCGGCTTATCAGCCATTTTGGGCCTATTCCAGATCGTAAAAATTAATGATGTAAAACGCAATTTTGTTAACGGCAACGGCTGCCTCTCGGCCACGGCTCGTTTGCGGTTAAGTGAAATGGCAATGGCACATTATGCCATGATTACGAGTCAGCATAACTCGTAAATATCCAGGGTATGTGTAATGTGCTCACATAATTGCCTTAATGCACACGGCGCTGCATTGGCCCGTAATTTGAATAATTAGCCCTGTCCAACATGGCGTATGTGCTATGCGCCCATTAGGCAACGAATAAAGATTGCATAAAAGTAGTTTCTTTGGCAATTCCCAATAAATACTAACTCGTTTGCGACTACAGTAATAATGTGTCACATATTTATTACTGTTACGAACTAGGGGAGTCTTGAGTATACATTTTCTATAAAAGTTATTACCATTTAATTTGGTTTCTATTTCCTGCTCAGGGGTGGAAAGTTCTTTTCTAATTTGTATACAAATTTAGAAGTTGTATACAAAAAAAAAAGCTCGTCATTCATTATTAATAACGAATTGCGCGGCCAAATGAATGAACTCTTGTTCCCTGTCACTGTCTGACAATGTGTTTAGCAAAAAAAAAAATAACAATATAAAACAGAAGGAAAGGAAAAGAAGCAATCAACAAAGGCAGATACACACAGAACTCAGAGATACAGATACAGATACAGAGGAAAGAAAAATCGCTGGCGATTTGCTGCATACTTCCGGGCGTTGGGTCCCCGAGGCACCGTTTTGAGGTCTGGAAACAAATGGTAAAGTCTGACTTTTGTCTGGTTCTCTTTTCACCTCTCCTCCGGACACATAATTCAATTAGTTTCACAGCCATAAATCAAGCTGCCGCTAAACCCTTTTTAATTACACGCCCATTCATCATCCCAGGACCCACATCTTTTCTTGGCCAATCTTTGGAGAGCACGAGGACTACACCTCGCACTTCATATTAATTGCCTGGCATATGCAAAACTTTTCCGGCTGCCGAAAGCTGACTAATTAAAAATTCACACACACACACGCCAAGAGAAAAACTTGGACCGCAGAGCAAAAATCAATTTGACTGAAAGCAAAGTTTTTGCGGCATGAAGCGAAAAATCAAATAAAATTAATTACAATGGCGAGGGCCATTTGTAAATTAACTTGTAAGCTTTCTGGGTCCGTCGGCACGTGTCCGGAGAGTTTTCTTAAGAAGTTGCTGGCCATTCCCAGCCCCAGTTCCAGTCCCTTGGGTTCCCGAGCAAAAAGCTCCTTGAGCACTCAATTAATGGCCTGGCTAAATTGTTATGTCTTAAAAGATAATTACCACAGGACCTTTTTGGGGCTGGTAGCAGTTTGCGTGTAGTGTGTGAAATGATTTTAATTACGAGGACATGGCCGTGAAGGCCTTAAACAGCAGCTGCATCAGTTGGCGACAGTTCGAACCTGGGCGGGGGGTAACTTGGAAAATTTATGGGACGAGCTTTAATAAGCGTTTTAGGCTAATGCCCGGCCATTACTTATCACGGATGGCAACAAAAACTTTCCACATCAACGCGATGGCGCCAAGAGACCAACATTTAACATTTGTAAAGCGTTTGTTACATTTCCCAGCCAGCTCCGTGACTGAAGATAAATTACAATCGTGTCTCCCGGCCCCAAAGAGCGAATTAAGCCAGCACACACTTGGACCCACTCCGAGGCCACTTTCGTTTACCTTGCCGTTTTGGAGTTTTTAATCAATTTTCGTTGAATTTTTCATGCGGTAGCTAGTAAAAATGTAGCCCGATAAAGCCGGCTTGATGGCGGAAAGGTGAAAAAGTAAAAGCAATGTGCTTGGCGTATAATAACTCACTTCCAGGCCGAAAACAGACAATTAAATTGTTAATCCAGCTGTTGGGCGAGGGAGTTGAGGCAGCGAAAACAATGAATTTGATAAATATCTCACCTCTAGGCAACTTCAATTCATCAATACAATTGTGATTGCAAAATTTAAAGCTTAATTTAAGACTGGACAAGAATTTTGAGAATCTTGTTTATTGAATTCAGCTATTTTAATGACTTCCCATTTCCCATTGAGTATCTATAATTCTTAAAGCTAGTTATATATCGCTAAAGCGCACTTCCCTTTTATACAAACGTACAAATCGTTCCTCATTATTCTATATATGGCATATCCTTTACTGGGACAGGCATAGATACACACACCCACATTAGTTATTCCAATTTGTGGGCCCAAAACTTTGAACTAAATACCCAGGCTAATGCATTTTTAATAGGCGCACCCGGCTAGTTATGAAAATGTTGTTTGAACGATGACATTGCTGATGAAAACCATAATGAAAGCTTGTTAAACAATAATTATGATATATGTGTGCCTGGCATGTGGAAGTCTTGCCTAGTTGCGGCTATAATTCGAGCAACTCTTTAGCCGGCAACATAAGAACTTCATTAGCTCATGAAATATTCAAGATGGCGCACAAACCAACCCCTAGTGCTGCGGGGGTGGATGGAGCTGGAGCTTATGGCGACGATGGTGGTGGTGTTGGTGGTGGCCATGCCGGCTCCATGGCCACAATTAGAGCAAAATGCTGCGCAAACGCGGGGCAGGGATGACATGCAACTGCAGTACGATTTGCGACTGAATAATTTATCAAATGGCAGGGCCACAGTCAGCCAAAGGATGCAGAGAAAGGATGGTGGGGCGAAAACAAATCCCTTTTAAGCGCCAAACATTTAAAATGCAATTTCACGCAGCTCCAGCTCGGCACGAAATTAATTTTAAACAAAAACACACAATCGCACACAATCGATCGGCGTGTGTGTGCAGTCAGCATATTTGATTTGATTAGTTTTAAATGGTCTTAATAGCCCGCCCACATAATGACTTGATGAGCTTCTGTCTGCCCCGACCCTACTCGAAATGAGTTTCTGGCAAATTGGTTTTCCATAATGAATATGTACATTAAGCGATACTATTTGCCAGATAAGCTTAAATGTCATCATCCACATCGATTAGGTGTGTTTATTCGAGCAGTTTATTAAAGAACTTTCCATAAAGATATTAATTCTTTGGGAATTTAATGAACATTGAGTTCAGTGGAGCTTAATACTTCATCATTCCGTATCATTCTCATAATAATAAACAAAACATTGAAGGATCAGAAAGATACAATGATTACATTTAGATCATTTTAGTAATTGGTTATTTTACAAATTTGTAAACATATTTTCCCTATTAATTACACACTTCCAGGGTATTCTAATTTTAGTCCGAAACTTCTAAAGCTGTGAAGGAGTCATTTCCGACCCTACAAACCATATATATTCCTGATCAGCATCAAATGCATAGTCGATCTAGCCATTTCCGGTCGAAAAATAATTTTTTGGAAATTTTTCGAAAATTGAAAATTTTATAAGGGGTTACATCATTAATTAATTAAATCTTTTAAAATAATAAATTCAGTATGCAGAATTATTATTCTACCTAACATGGGAATGCTTTCCGAATTAAAATTAATGCATTTTTGTCTTAGTTATGAGTTTTTTAAGTTTTAAATTATCGATAAAATTGTCATATAAACATATGTTAGCAATGAATATTTTAAGCTTAGCTATGAACTTTTACCGATCAGATACTTAACATATATTTAATTGCAAATTGCAAGAGTACAATAACTTACTTATAAAATCTCTTTCTCGCTTTATTTTCCAGACGCCAAACAGCCGAGGAGCGCGAGGCAGAACGACAGGCAGCAAACAGGCTGATGCTGTCCTTGCAGGCGGAGGCCATCAGCAAGGGCTTTGCACCCCCTGCGCCGCCCCTGAACTCGCAGGGGGGCGTGAATGGGGCACCTTTGGCGGCACTACATGGCCTCCAGCCTTGGGCAGAGGCGTCGCATGCGGCGGGCTGCTAATCGGACCGCCAAGTGGAGCGAGAGCGAGCCGTCGGCGGCTGTTGGTTTATTTGTGATACACTTCGCTTTGTACATAGTCCGAGGACACGGACAGTGGAGCCCCGGACAGAAGACTATTCGCACTGTACATAGGAGGACGAAGGGGGCGGCTGAGGCAGACCCCACTGTAAATACCTAGCTTTACTCTGTAGAGACGCTTGCCCAACGGATGCCAGGATGCCAACGTGGCGATGGACCTGGATCGGCGCTTTAAGTTCGTGTAGAATTCCGAATTTTCGTTTTGTGTTTCGTAGTGCTGCATTTAGAATATTAGTTATTGTTCGACAGTTGAACCGAAGGCAGAACGCATCTCAAAGTGTCGCAGAGAGCCTCGAAGCCGCGCCTAGTAATAACATATTTAATACGCAAAATTATATATGGATTGTAATTGTAATATGTATCTGTCTCTAGGCTTAAGTCAAATGGCATTACCTAGTATTATAAATTATAAACCCTAAATACATGTATGAGCATTGGAAAGTAAACAAAACAAGAGCAATGAAAATAAACACATTACGAAATCAAAGAATATAAAACTAAAGTCTTTGTTCAAGCTTATTTATTATGAAAAGGAAGTTCTTTAGACTATTTTATTGTATGGGTAAAGAAGCTATATAAATTTCAGGCTGTTGGCAGATATTAAACAAATATTTTCGTCTAGTATTTTTACTATTTCTCTAACTCAAAGCCCGTTTAGGACACGAAAACTCCCCCATAACAAGGAAAATCTGACGTTGGGGGAGTTTCCTTTGTCTTTTCGGTTGAGATCCTTGGATAAATGGAAATATTTCAACCCTTAAATAGTAGGAACCATCCATTGAAGATGATTTATTGATGGTTATTGACAGGCGCAGGGTGGTTAGTTCGCGTAGACCACTTCTAATAGGAACCTGCAGCCTTGGCCGGATACCTTTTGACGTGCTAATTATGGGGCTAGCCAGAAACAATAATAAAAAAATAACTAAAAAAATCAGCCATATGTTGGACCCATGAAAAACTAACAACAATTAGCGAGTGAATATTCCGGGGCCGTTCATTATAAATATATTACGTGTTTTTGCGTTGAAAGCAAAACAAACAGACGCCGCCGAACAGGTAGCCCAATATTTGGAGGGACGCCTCCAAAGTGTTGCCGCTGTCACATTAGCACTGCGCTGAGGTCGGTCCCGTCGTGGCTTGGACCTTCCTTTGACTCCTACAAGTTGGCCGGTGGTCGCTCCCGACTGGACTCTGTGTGCGGAAGAAAACGATTTTCGGGTAAAAGAGTTGAAAGACGGCGCCCCAACAAAGTTGCAGACGCCGGCGATCAAAGGCTGTTTATTTGAACTTCAGCAGAGACACCTTTTTAATTTGCAGTTTTGCCGCTGCTGGGCTTGCGGATGTGGATACACCGCGAAAAAGGGTTTCATAAATTGTTTTGCAAATTTAAGATGCATAGATATATTACTGCTGATGCAGGTTAGCAGATTCAACTGAACTAAATACAAAACACACAATTTACATCGTTGGGAATACTTAATACTAATAAACTTGAAGATGAACTTTATGGTATATGTTTCTTAGAAAAATGTAACTTGAGAGGAATACATTTATATATATTGTTGCATTTATTTCCCTGAGCTCTAATTTAATTTAATTTTCTTCGAGTGTCTGGTCTCAATCTAAAACCGAAACTGGGCTACTTGGAAATCCGTATAAATTGCGTTTAATTGGACAATCTGGGCTTTATTTCTTTGTGGCCAGCGGCTAACAAACGAATCAAAATCTGTATGTAATGAGGATGATTGTCCCCATCCCCATCCCCAGCCTCAACCCCCAAGTCCCGCCTTAGCCTCCATTTGAATCCTTGGCCCCATCGATTGTGCGGCATTGCATGTGGGTTAGCCTCTAATTGGCTGCCATGGGTGCTGGCCGGGGGCTCCAGGTTGCGAGTTCCAGTTTCCAAGTTGCAGGTTTGATTGATTATTGAGCAAACTTGCGGACAGATATCGGACGGAGGCCGAACAACAATCTATTTGTGACCACTTAGTGTAATACAACATGAAACGACTTCGGGCCTCCGGCGGAAATGGGGTCGAGTCCTGGATTCCTGGATGAACTGGATGAACTGGACGACAATGGCCGGTCGAAGTGCAGCCAAAGTTTTTGGCCGAAAATCCCCTGTAAAAGAAAAACCAAATTGGAAGTGACCGGGGGCCGGTCGGGCGTGTGTCAGTCAAAAAGTGGATGCGAGTATGAAAAATACAAACGAACAGTCCGAACAGAATGCGGTTGGTCAACAAGACAGGCGCCAGCTACAGATACAGATACTACGGATGGCCGTGCCAGGACTTCGGGTGAAGGCCTTATGCTACGGCTGCACATGTACATGTCAATTTGGATTATGGCAAGATTGAAAAGGATTTAAGGCCACCACCGATGGAAGGACAGAGATGACCATTATGGATCTGAAGCAGAACCACAAAGCTAAGCACATTTTTCAAATTAGTTTTTCATCATTCTCGCAATTGCTCTGGCAGCAATTTTCGAGTTAAGGCCACAAAAGAGTTGACAACAAGTTGGACAGTTCGCTGTCTGCCAGTCAGTCAGGCATATAGTCAGCTATTCAGCTAGTTTTCGGATGCACTGTGCGCACAGTGACAGCGAATAATTAGTGGCCATCGCGGGGACATTTAAATTAAATATGAGTCGCTATCGCAAACTACAGGTACACACATATCCGAGTGTGTGGGCCGCGGGGGCTCTCTAATTATGGCCATCCCCTGTCAAAACTGTCGGCCTGCACACGGCAGTCGTAAAAACGTCATAAAGAAAGCAATTTCAACTAACGTACGAGCTTGTTTGCCGCAATATGAGAGCGGTTATAAAAAAAAAGAAACAAACAGGGCGGCCATTGTTCTGCTGTTGGCCAACAAAGCCAACTGTCATTAGCCCTCTCCCTCTCGCTACCTTTCCATAGGGCCGGCTATTAAAAACGCTGCACTAAATGAGTTTAAAAATGGAGTAAATGGAGTACGCTAATCACTTGGTCTTACCACTGAACCGAACCCCCGTTTTCAGAACACGGAACAACTGCGGTCATAACAATGGCACTGAAACACGCATCTGCCAACAGGGATATACAACTTTTCCAAAATCAAAATGAACATATAGATTCTTAGCAAAAAGTTGGAAAACAATCAAGGAGTCAATCTTAATATTTATAAAAAGATTTTAAATATGTATAATGATGATGGATGAGTCCTCTTAATTAATATTTTCCACGGAAAAATTGTGTTCAAATTATGTTTTATTTATAAAACATATTAACATAACTTATTTTATTTCCTTATATTCTTTTGTTACTATTTATCGTATAGCAGTTGTTGAAAGCCCGATAATAGGTGACAGGGAAGGCAATTAGAACTAGCAGAACTCTAATGGATGCCTCCCATTAATTTTCTGCTGAAAACTAATGATTAAACTTGTCATTAGCTTGTCCAGTTCAAAGGCCATTCTCTGCAATAACTTTTTGATATGGTGGGGTCACATGCATCGATTTAGATAGTATCAAAAATGGTTGGGAATCCTTAAAGTTGGAACTCTGCTTTAAATACATCTGACACCGTAAATCAGAAATTACTTTAGGTCTAAATCTTAAAAACAATATGCTAAAGCCAAGTTCTGTTGGCTGTCATTTCGGATTGTAGCCCAACCCTTATCAACCACTGAATTAGCGGGTTTTGACACTGGCAAAAAGGGGAAAAGTTAAAAAGAACTTACACAGTTTTTAAATCAAGTAATTTTGATAACAGGAAACAAGCGTACTTTCTAGGGGATGAGAGAAATATTTGAATTCTGCTAATTGCGCAAAGTCTGCGAAGGTAAGAAAATGTTATTTGTTGATGTTATTTTCCCCAAACCCTACATTACCCGTTCTAGTAACGAAGGTGTACATTATTTTGAACCCATCAAACAGACAAGTCCATGGCATTGACAATAACAGATCATTCGTACTTCAAACAACTGATGACTTTTCAATAAATAGTCAACGTTCGAGGAGTGGTAAGTCATGTTACCGTTTTTCCCATGCAATTTTACATGAAAGTTTAATCGAGTCTCTTTTCAATTGAGTGCAAAATCACATCAACAGCAAATAAAAATTGTGTAAAGTGCCAGGACCGAGCTCTCAACTCGGTGGTCAGCATTCGGGGTGGTTCTGATCCTTTTTTTTATTACAACACTCCTGCCCAACCCACAAGTGTCAACAGGAAGTTTGGACCTGGCTACCTTGCCACAGACGGCTTTGGTAAAATTATTTTGGTATTTATTGGCGAACACACAAATTTATAACCGACCAATGAAGCGCCATAAAAAAAGAGAAACCCCTCTGACTTTGACGTGCTGCCAGGGTTCGACTCTCGTCGAAAACATTTCAATTTTATGGCCACGCTCCATCCGAAAAAGGCTAATAAAATATTGAAAAGTCTGGAAAATTTATGTTGAATTCCATTAGAGTTATGGCGTGAAAATTGCCCCGCTTGTCTTTTATTCTGTGCCGGAAATCAATGGCGAGTATTAATTACTGGTTCTCGGGAAGTGCTCTTGGTCAGCAAAGTTACCAATTAAGCTAGGTTAACAATATACCAAAGCCAGGTCTCCAGTGTCCTTTTAAGACGTCCTTCTCCTGCTCCTCTTTTAGGTATTCAAATTGCTCAAGCTTGCCACTTACATAACTCGACTCCCATTTCATTTGCTGACCAACTTAGAAACTGGCTTCGTTTTGAGCCCAGTTCCCAGTTGTCCATTTCACGGGCATAGCATTTGCATTTTATATTGGCTAAAGGACACACTGGCATTAAAAAAGAAACTCTTTAACATGAAATCAGTACTTAAGAGGGCTTTTACTTATTATTTTCCCATCGTAAGCTTATTTAAAAATATGTTTATAATAATTGTGAAATCCTTTCCTTGGGTAAAATTCGTTTTAATTATTTTATATCAAGACATTCTGAAATATAGATCTTCCCCTGCCGATTTCTTTCTCTGTGTAGGAAATGTGTGTGTCTTTTTTATCATTTTGGGCTTAGGACTCTTGGCAATTGAATCATTCTATTCAGACTCTCACACGAACTCCGGACTTTTGTAAGTGGTCTTCGGGGTAAGTTTTGATTTCTGCGTAATTTTTCTTTCGCCTGTCCGGAGCCAGTCAAAACTCGGAACTGCCACATAAATAATGCAACAAAAACTGGACGGTATTGTAGCAATCACCTCAACAGGCTGGCTGTTCAAATGTTCACGCATTTTTGAGGCAAATCCACTGCTGCAAATTGAAATAAAAAGAACCTCATTTGGAAGGGCCTGTGCCAGGAAAATTTCCCCCAAATGCATATTAAAATATCTAAACCTCAGGCCCGGGTGCCCTGAATATCCACTGATTTCTCTGGCCAAACAAATGTCTGGCCGTAAAAGTAAACGACAGACGAATGGGGCGGCAATAAAAAGAGCTGAACCGACCGACAAATGTACATATAAAAGGGCATCGAACGACATCTCGCAGGGCGGACGTGAAAATGGGCGTTGTGCGGCGGTTGGGCGGAGGATGTCAGGCAGGTTCACGGCGTTGACTAATGCTGAACGCGCACAACTTGTCCTTGTTGTTGATGTTGTTTATGAGCCTGCCTGCCTCCACCTCCGCCTATTCAAATCCCTGCGGCCTCGAGAGATCCCTCCCCTCAATCCCCGGGAAATGACGCGCGTGCCTTCGAGTCACGCGTTTGGCAACATTTCAAATTGATGAAGTCGTGTTCTGAAGGACTCCCGGGGAGGGGCACTCAACCACCAGGAGCACCACCCCACGGCTGGTGTCAATTGTATAATTGCCGAATGTTGTTTTCAAATATTTAATTGAAAGGGTGTTTTGTCGCTGTTGTTGCGATTGCTGCTGCTCGGCCTCGTGGTTACACGCGTATCCTGTTACAAATCCTGTGTCGAATGTTGTTTTGCCTGCTGTTTAATATAATTGTTATCCGCTTGAATCGGCGTTGAGTGTTTGGGGGTTGGGCGGTGGTAAGGTGGCTCCTGTTCCCTTCTAGCTTGTGGCAAGTGCCGATACTTTCTCAGGAGATAACACTTGATCCCAGGAGTGATTCGAATCAGCAGATGCTACTCACATAAAAGTGATATGAATGCAATGGAAGAGCGCTGGTAAAGGACTTACCACGGGTCGCTACTGGTAAGTATTTGTTAATATATTACCTTACTTAAATGTGTGAGATTAAATATTATATGAACAAATCTCCAAGCCAAGTATCTTCCATCACTAAATAATACTACACTAAATAATAATACACTAAACAATAACAAATAAATAAATATTTCTATTTCAAGATCTTTAAAGTAAGTTCCTTAGTTTTATGAAGACAGGACGGGCTGCTAAAAACCGTCTCTCAATGTGTCCTCGTTCATTCTCATAGTCGTATCGAAGTCACAAGCAAATGGGGAAATGCGTTGAAGGCAGCTTTCAATACAGTTTACGCAGCTCCTGGGAGGTAGGGACAGGTAGGATGCCGATGACACCTACACTCGATGGCACTCATCGAGCTGGAAGACAGGCAAGAACTGCAAACTGGCAAACTGGAAACTGGCAGGCAAGAGTGGCCTGGGAAAAGTCGGAATCGGCGGTCGACCGGCAATTCGAATTGCATTTTAATGCAATTACAAGGACGTCAGTCAGAGCGCATCCACCCCATAGGGCAGCCCTCTGTTTGCCGCCACCCCCGAAGGCCCACTTGACATTGACAATAAACAGTGCCTGGCTGCAGGATCTGACTGCCGCTTTGTTGAAATATGTCCTGCGTCCTTAATTTCACTTTTATTTTTGCCTGGGATCAGGGACCAGGCACCATAGAGCAGGGAGCCGGATGCAGAGCGTAGCAGTCATTGTTGCTGTCGCAGATTAAAAGATATAAATTCATATTCCCCAAGCACCCAGTAGCAGGACCTGGGAGCGCGTGTCCTGGTCCTGGCGCGGTTCCACGCCCTTGCCTCTCCATCCCCGAGGATCGATTAGCTTGTTTGCAATTCAATTTGAAGCACAGCACTTGCCGTAGTTCCTGCGTGACTGTGTCATATATCTTTTTTATGAATGGATTGCGTGAATGATGAGCTGGCTTAGCTTTATGGCAGGGCGTTTGATTTGCCAGCCTTTTGACGTTCTGGCCGCTTGACTGTCCTTCCGATTTCGTGCCAGACAGCCGTATTTCGGGGGCGGCAGGTGCAGGACATCAGCCAACTTACAACTATCCGCCGGGCCACTTACAGTAATTAACTGCGAGATGCTGAGCGCCGCTCGTCAGCATCTCAGCCGTGGCTGCGTCCGCGTGCCGTCCCTTCATCCCTGTCGGAATAAGAGGAGTTCAAAAAGAACTAGAGTTCGCATAAAAACGTGTCTACATCGTTTGTACATCAAGCCGCACAACATTTGTCATAAATGCGCAACGCACTTTGCCTCCTTCCTCTAACTAATTTATTAGATCCGGATCTGCATATCTCTCAAATTGATTTGTATATTTTTAACGCTCTTAACTTTATTAAAAGACGCAGAGTCTTTTCCCCAAATTTCCAGGGAATGCGATCCCGGTGAAATATGATTTGTGTAGCACATCTTGTAATGGTCTCAAGGACCTGCAATCGATTTTTCATTCTCACCAAAATGGTGGCTTCAACCCGTTTAACGACTTCCCTTATAGCCTCCATCCACCCTCAGGCTCTGGGTGAGCATTGATTGATGATAATGATTCAAATTCATAAATAAACGATAACGTCGTTATTATAGACGCTTGATTTTCCTCTTTGAAGGTGTTGTGTTGGGATATTGGGTTTAAATATAAGCGAAGTAAGTTTATAGAAAATTTACAATATAGGATAATGCATTTTATTTTAAATTAAGAATGCAATAGAAAAGAAAATCGAACTCCCCTTTAAGGGATTAAAAAATGTAGATTATAAATTATAATGCTGAAGCTAGCTTTTACCGCTATTTTTACAAAAAAGTTACATTGTTATCAAAGAAAGCAAATATTTATATAATTAAGATATTAGTTGCAAATCGAAGTATATATGTATATTATTTTTGGCAACCATTTGCTTCTTAATTTTCGAATCCCATAAAGAAAGCCAAAATATGTGTATTCTGTGTATATTAAATTGTTTTTTGGAAAGACTTTTATGTGCCAGTTTTTATTAGAATATTAAATCTACATACTCAGTTTAAAATTTCAAGACATTGAATTTTTTGTCAATTTTTGACAATTTTAACGATGTAACCCCTTATAAAATTTTCAAATTTTGAAAAAAAAAGGTAACAATTTTTTTCTCCACCGAAAATTCCTAGATAGACTCAGTTTTTAATGCTGATCAATAATATACATGGTTTGTAGGGTCGGAAATGACTCCTTCACTGCATTGCAAGCTTCTGACTAAAATTATTATACCCTGCAAGGGTATTAAAATATTAAAAACAATTAAGCTTATTTATTAAAAAAATAAACTAAAAACTAAACTACAATTCCCTAGCTTGCTAAAATTCCCAATACCGACCTAAACATCACACATACATATAATTGGAAACAGGGTTTACATTACATTACAGTTTTACATTATGAATCATACACAAATTTACGCGTATTATACTTATGTAAAGTAAAACTATGTTACATGTATACTTACATGTACATTGCTTTTACACGTTTATAATTGTATATTATACAATATACATATAAGAATTTTTACAGCTGCGCTTGACGTAAAATTGTTTTCTATTTCTACCGATTATTTAAGTGTCTTATAGTTTATCGATATGTGATTGAATCCAGCCCTGATTTCAGCACAACAGTCAATCAGCTGTTTACTTCTGTCTCGAAAGAAAAAATTGTGCCTGTACAAGATACTCAAATGATTGTTTTTTATTTACCAAAATAAGTGTTATGTCGCAAAGAAAATAAGGTAAAAATTAGGGCAAGCATGGAGGTATTTCAGACAGATTCGCATTACATCTTTGTGAAGCGGGACAAGAGTTTATGGTGGCATCGCAAGACATCAGAGTTCACAATAAAAGCAGGTAAGGAACGTCAATTGCAAAACAATGTAATTAAGTGAATCATTTTGAGTGAACACTCTTGTTCAAATAATATCTTGTCTTAAAAATTTGAATGTTTCATTTATTGGAATGATTCATCTGTGAAATTTCGATAAATTTTAACCATTTATGACTCTTTCTGTGGGAGTATGTACTTAGTGCTTGTTTGATGTGTGTATTTCAAGGATTGAATATTAAATGAATGAATAATACATGATGATTAATCCCGCAAACAAGTTTCCTGTAAGCTCAGCAGTTTCATCATTTATTCAGTTCCTCGTGAGCAAGGTCACAGTTTCTAACGACTTATCTGACGACAACTACGCATTAGGTTTACATTTGTATCTACAGCTTCTGAATGTATGTGATTTTGTTTCCTTTAAATTATATGAAAAGTCTTTTTAATATATTGAAATTGATGTATGTAAGCTATCTACTTTATAAAATCCAGTCATCTGTCCCCAATGTTGAAGTCATCCAAGTACGAAATAGGTTCTTCCCCCTTCTTTAAATAATTAAAAGCGAGGTGTTAATGCTAGAAATGAAATTGTCCCGAGTTTATACTATTCCCCATTTAATTAATAACCTGTGGGGCCTATAAATACCGTCAGTAAATTAAACTACAAGCAATCAACAAGGACTCCCAACCGCTAATTGCTTGTTTACTGGGGCAGCAATTAAATTATGATCAATTTCCCAGACACGCAACGTGTCGCATTTAAATAGAACCGGACATTTACACTACCTATGGTTCCTAAGAGACGGATGGATGGTCACTCTCTTTAATTCCGTGAGTCATCGGCGGTGTGACCCCTGACCCCTGTGCGCAGCCCATAAATCTTTGCCCAAGGTCACCGCAGCTGCTCCCGCCCATCAATTTATTTGTATTTTTTTCGCACAACGAAAAGCTTTTGTTCCAAGTTGACTAAATTTTTAAGGGGCTAATACATTATTACGGATTTTACAGCCAACGGAAGCTAGTTATATATTCTCTAGTCTGGTTGAGGTGTTATCTAGCAAGATAAACCTGGCAGTCTCATGAGATAAGGGCAAAAGTCTCTCAGCTGCACAATTTAAAGAGTTGAAATCGTGCCGCCGCCCAGCTCTCGTGTGCATCCAAAAGGATTCCCAAGGATGCACGTACATTAGGTGGCACTTAAAGTGCCATTTCACATTTCTTGTTTCAGCTGGCTGTGGAGACGGGCGTTGGGGGGTGGTTTGTGGTAGGTAATGAGCACACGCAACGCTCTCCAGCTGCAAACATGTAACCTGAAATTACAGACCTGGGCACTAGAAGGCAACCGTAGTTAGTCAGCGGTCAATATTAATGGTTATTTACGCCACTTATTTGCCTGCCAGATATCTAATTAAGGGGGCGTAATGCTAATCAAATACAAATAAAGCACTGCAATGACCAAAAAGGTTTTTTTAAGTACAGCGTCCTTTGTCCTATAAATTTAAATAAATTTGAAAACAACATATCTAACATCTGAACTATTTTCTAGGATGGGACCTGAGCTCCGTGGACGACATCGAATGTATTGGGGTAACGCATGGAATTGTGGGCGTTATCTCGCTACCTAACGTCTATGAGCCTCATTTGGTGGTGGTGAAGGAAGCCACGGCGGTGGGTGTCCTCTACCCACCCCACTTGGTGTACAAGATCAGGTCCATATGTATACTTAGTGCCGAGGAACCAGACACCGACTTGTCCAACTGCACAAAGCACACCAAGTAAGCCTAATCGATAACCAAATTGAAGTCTTTACTTATTCATGAACCATTTCCAAACCAGAAGCAACCAGTCAACGCCCACACATAGCGCCTCCATCGCGAACAACAACAATGCAAGCGCTTCATCAGGTGGCGGTGGTGGATCTTCGAAAAGCACAAAACTGTTCGAGGGCATGAACAAGACATGGGGCGCCGTCAAGAGTGCTGGGAACACCATCAAAAACACCACACAGCAGGCGGCAAATCTGGCCACCAAGCAGGTCAAGTCCTCGGTGGGAATACGAGAGCCCAAGCACATCGAACGCCGCATCACAGAGGAGCTCCACAAGATATTCGACGATACGGACAGCTTCTACTTCAGCTTTGACTGCGATATCACCAACAATCTGCAGCGACATGTGGCCAAATTGGAGGAGAATCAGCAACAGCAGCCAGATGAGAGGTTTTTCTGGAACAAGCACATGATTCGGGACATACTGCAGATGAATGTACGTATCCCTTTTGATAAGAAATTGAATAGGACATTCAAAAACCTATTTTACAGGACAAGACATGGATATTGCCCATCATTCAGGGATTTGTGCAAGTTGAGCCATGTGTCATTGGCAACGAGTGCTTCACTTTGGCCTTGGTCTCCCGAAGATCGCGTCATCGAGCTGGAACTCGGTATAAATGCATAACTTATCTTTATTTCACGGATAACAAGAATTTTGATTAATTTACTTCCTCAGTTACAAGCGACGCGGTGTGGACGAGAAAGGTAACTGCGCTAACTATGTAGAGACGGAGCAAATACTCTCCTTCCGCCACCACCAGTTGTCCTTCACCCAAGTCCGTGGCTCTGTTCCGATATATTGGAGCCAACCGGGCTACAAGTACCGCCCACCACCGCGTCTCGATCGTGGAGTGGCCGAAACGCAGCAGGCTTTTGAGCTGCACTTTACCAAGGAACTTGAGATCTACGGGCGGGTCTGCATCGTCAATCTAGTGGAGCAGAGTGGAAAGGAGAAGCTGATTGGCGATACCTATGCTGAACATATAATCAAGTACAACAACGAGCTGATAATATACGTAACTTTTGATTTTCACGACTACTGGTAAGGAGTCTAAAGAACCAAATCCTATTCTCCATCTAAAACACGCTATCTTTACAGTCGTGGCATGCGCTTTGAGAACGTCTCAGCCCTAATTGATGCCGTAGGCCCTGAAGCTGGAGCCATGGGTTTCCACTGGCGGGATCAGCGTGGAATGATCTGTAACCAAAAGTCGGTGTTTCGGGTGAACTGCATGGACTGCCTAGATCGCACCAATGTCGTTCAAACGGCCATTGGCAAGGCGGTGCTGGAGTCTCAGCTCGTTAAGTTGGGCCTGTCACCGCCATACACTCCGATTCCGGAGCAGCTAAAGTCTCCGTTTATGGTTTTGTGGGCCAACAATGGGGACATCATTAGTAGACAGTATGCGGGCACCAACGCCTTGAAGGTAATGAGCCAAATAACCCTTTTATCATAAGGATTAATAATGAATTTCTTAAAATTCACAGGGGGACTATACCAGAACTGGCGAACGAAAAATCAGCGGCATGATGAAGGACGGCATGAACTCGGCCAATCGGTTCGTCAAGATATTTATTTCTTATATGTTTCATTACCATTACCATTATCTTGATTGACCTACTTATTCGATTTCAATTTAATTCCTTTTAACCCAATTTTTGTAAGTCCCATAAATTTTAAAGGCGATTTCTTGGTGATTACTTGCCAAACCACCCAGTTTGTTCAATCAATCAACTTCAAAAAAACTCAAAAGCCCTCAGATATCTCATCGTTTTTGACTCACTTTAATTCTTATATTTGTCTACTAATATTTGCATGGCTTCCTTCCATATCTAAACCTTCTAATCAAAGCTGATCTAATCAAAAATCAGAACCATTTTTTAAATACTCTTTATTCCGGATGCACATGATCGTTGCCTAATTCAATTCCCTGCCGAACTTCTTCGTAGCTTTTTCATACAAAACTTTGCCGACTCGTTTCGCCAGTGCATCATCGATCTGATGCAGGGCCACTTGCTGACAGCAGATGAGCTGCAAGAGGACGAGGTCCTGAACACCATTTTGCAGATCCTTACACCCGAAACACGGCCACCGATGCGTGGCTACTATAATCCCGGTGTGTTCGGGCCAGAACTGCAGCTGCTCGAGTCCATCGTTACGACCAGGTGTGCAGTGCAAAGCCCGAGACGATCCGCAGATGATGAAGTCGATCGAAACAAAGTCAGACAGTTACTGTTTTTAGTTGCTCCAATTGTTGCATACCCTTTGATTCTTATTTTGCCAAAGGTACCCTCTTTTCATTCTTAAGTCTTATTTCCATCATTTGCACATCTGCTTATTTGAGACGCGAATTCTTGGCTCAACATTGACGAATTCTCGCAATTTTCAGTTATTATTTGGCACGCTTTAAGGACTCTTATCGCCAAGCCACCATTGACCTTATGCTGGGCAACCAGGTCTCCTCCGAGTCCCTCAGTGCTCTGGGCGGTCAGTCGGGAACGGATGAGAACGATGCCACGGAGAATGCTGAACATGCCAAGTTGCTGGTGGAGGACTGCCGTCGTCTGCTACTGGGATCCGCTCAGTATCCGGTCGGAGCTTGGGGACTAATAGATGCTGACCCAAGGTTAGTAGGCAAAGATCTTGCATATTCTGGAATAAAGTGTTAAAATTACATTCCCTAGTTCCGGTGACGCCAACGAAACCGAGGTGGACTCCATACTGCTGCTAACCGACGACTGTTACATTGTGGCCGAGTACGACTCACATCTAGATAAGATTGTCCGCTTCGAGAAGGTGCAACTTGCGCAGGTTCGACTCATCGAGCTGGGCATGTACCAGCAGACCAAGATGTTTCAGGGTCCAGCCACGGCGCATCTCTGCCTGCGTCTCAACTACAGTGTCGAGAATCAGGAGGGCTACTTCCACATGTTCCGCTCGGCCAACTTGCGTTTCTTCAACAACATGGCCTATGTTATCAAGACGCAGGAAGAGCTGGCTGAGTCTTTGACATCTATTGTTGAAATGTTCCGCATCGCCCTGGATAATGCCAGAAATACTGACGTTCGATACGTAACAGGCGGGGTGCTGCAGCGCAGGAAGAGCAAGGTGCCCATGCTGGATGTGCCCAAAGGCATGCCGCGCAACCTCTCAGAATCTCAGCTGGTACAGTTCAGCTCCAAAGCCCTGTCGAATGTGGCGGGACAGTTTTCGAAGTTAGGTCAGACCTTCAAGAAACCAAGCTCAAGCTCAACGCAGCAACAGCAGGCACATCCCAGCAACTTGACAGCCACCATTAATCCCCAAGTTATGCGGCAGACAGGTGGCAACGATATCAGTATTGATGCTGGCCAGGAGGCGGAGAAGGCCGTATTTACGCTGGGCCACAAGCAACGCAACTCGAACAGCGCCAGCAGCTCTGATACCGACGAGCACGACAACAGCTTGTACGAACCCGAGGTGGACTCCGATGTGGAAATAGCTCTGGGAAACAAGTCACATTACAACGAGAACGCCTTCTTGCCATCGGTGGGTATTGTCATGGGCAGCCAGAAGGAGGAGCAGTCGCCCAGTTCTTCGGACGAAATACGGCAGCTGGAGCAAAAGGACAGCATGTGCAAGACCGCCGAGGATGTGCTAACCATTTCCATTACCTCAGTGACAGATCACGTTGGTCTGCCGACGGGTCTGTTGGAAAATGCACCGACCTTGCGGCCGATCACACCAAATCCTCAGATATGCGTGCAGGCGCAGGAGGCCTATGAAGCTGAGGAAGAGGAGAGATTAAAGTCCCTGTCCAGGTCGGTATTCTACAAGTGATCTTTGGTTGTAGACATAGACAAGTATTATGCGATTTAAGCTTTGTTTTTTCAGTCTTATATGTTCTTAATTAGCCGATTTGTTTGTTTGTAGAGTTTGTAAATGTGTTTTAACCCATTCGAGGTACAAGAAAGTATTATTATGCTTCAGTTATCCCTTATGTGTGTTCTCAACTTTACGAAATACCTAAGATTACCATGTATTAATGTACAAAAATCAAGGAATACCTGTGCCTGCTATACATACCACATACACTCGGTCTGTTTCTGGCCCAATCAACGCTCAAAATAAATCCATTAAGTAGAAATCTCTGGTCGTGTTTTTGAATTGTAATGCGTTTTCAGTGGCCTGGGCACAGATCTCAGCTTGCCTTTGGGTCTGCCCACCCAGCCGGAGGCTAATAAGCTGAAGCAGCTCACCAGCCCACTCTCCAAGCTGGCAAAAAACATTGGCCTGAACCTGGATCCTCGAAAGATAGCTACCAAGGTCAGTTTTTAAATTGAGAAATTATATTTTTCTATACTAATAAATTCGTATACTTCCCCTCAGACCGGAGTCCTCTCTCCCACCAGTCTCTCCGGCGAGAACACACCGCCTGAGCGCGATCCCAGTTCCCGGGATCACCTGTTGGAATTGTGGGAGGCTGAGAAGTGCAAAACCAAGTTGATAGCCCTATAAACAATACTCGAAGCTCCTTTGCACTTATTTAATCATTTATGCAAGTGATATATTTATTTAATACCAAAAGGGGAACGAAGCTGAACAAACACTTCCATTAATGTCACATTAGGAAAAAGAAAACCAAAACTATATACAAAATCGCAACGTTTTAGTGGTTCTAATAATGTAGTGTAATGTAATATATTTTGTGATTATTTTAACAGCAAGTTTTAGGGAGTTAAAACATTATTGTGCAACTAGAGTGTAGTTGTATATTTATTGGAATAATTGCTGTATCCCAATTGGCCAAAACATCGTGAGGATAGACGTATAGCATGAAATCGAACAACGAACCAATTCGATTGCATTAATCATTTGCGAGCCTTTGATGATATCTTTGCCAAGGCAATCTTAACATAATTATCACAACCTCATTGGTCCACTGGGATAATTGGGGTCACAGTGCAGCTTCAAATATTATTGATATTCAGTAGAGTTAAATCCGGCACGTTGCTTTTGAAAGAAACTAATTATACGTACGTAGAGTGGGTGAGCTACGAAATCCACAACAACACAAGACTTGGACACACTCCACATTTAAACACAAGAAAATAAAACCAATTTTGGACTAGTAACCAGTTATTTTTGGCATAAAAGTATTGCATGGGGAACTGAGAGGATTTCGGAAGTGTCAACGAATATTAGAAGGAATCTATACACAAACATTTTAGCTTGGGGATTCGCTATGTGCCCTTCGTAGTGTGTTTGTAAATAGCTGAATATTTAATGAGTAAACAATACAATTAACTAGAACTATGTATGCGCCACCGATTATATCAAATATAATATATATATGTGTGTTTAAATGCTTTAAATGTGGTTTGTCTGAAGTAACTAGGGAGGAGTGCATCCAATTATTTGTGAAGCATCTCATCAAAACTCAACATGTCAGTGTCAAGTGGTGTCCCGTTGCTAGATGTGGCCTGTTTACATAAGCGATAAACGAGGAAGCAAAAAATGGCAGACCAACCACCAACCCTGTGCCAAGTGGAAATCAAAAATCCATTAAAACACCACGGAAACGGACCCCGGTCCCTGTAATGCTGTCAATCAGCTTACACATACACAAGTGTCTCTATATTGATATTGGACTTTATTTATGCGAACTTTGGACCAACCAACGGAACTCCTGAACTTTTGGCCAGCCAGCTGATAAGGGCCACACGACGATGCTCCTGCTCCTTGTCCGGGCGTCCAATATCATGCTAATGTGTACGCACAGTTGCATCAATTGTTTTTCAATCAAAGTGCCATCAATCTTATTGGCTGTTTGTTTAATTAACGTACGCATTGTCTACCTATGGGAACGGAGAAAGGTCGAGGTGGGGCAGGACCCAGTGTGGGAGTGTGAGACGGAGGGTGGGTAGATACGTAAGGATATTTCATGCCAATCCATTTGACCTCCGAGTCACGCCTGATTGCCACGCACCAAGGATGCACTGCCTCCCTCTCGATATCCCTGGCATTTTTCTTTCGCATTTCACTTCTTAACTTTGTCCATGTCTTTTGCGTCCATTAAGTGTGTCTGTGCTAAGACTTGGAAATTGTCTTTTGAATGTTTCAATTACACGCCTTCTTAAGCACAGCTTCCCTTTCAAATTGAACCAACGCCATCAGACTCTCTTCGTCCTTCGTCCGTAGTCCTTAGTCCCCCCGTCCGGCTTCCATGGTCGGATAGCCGGATGGGCGGACTTCGTACGGACGGAGACTGATCTGGGTTGGCTTTCCCTTTGCCATCCTCCGGTATTCGTTTCGGTTTGCTTCGGTTTTTATGCGCCAATAAAGTGAAATGCAGAGATAGTCGGAGGATTTACTGCCTTTGGAGTAGGCTACATGGTATATGTATATGGTGTGCATGTGTGGTCCCTGGTAGCTCTCATCCCCCGGCCAATTTCGTTAAACACTTTTGCCTTAAACCATTAATTTCCTATATGTTCGACTTGTACGTGCTGCCAGTTACTCCCTGCAACCATCCCGAAGCCCCATGGAAAGTTAATTTTATTGCTAAAAGCGGGTTAAGTGCTCGGTGCACAGCTGAGTGCCTCTATTCTGTGGCCCGGAGGCTGTTGGTTGCTCCCCGATAGAAATCAAATTTGCTTTATGGTATGTATGCTAATTTGGTGTCTGGCTGGTGTCCGCCCTTTATTCCGGGCCAGACTCTGGTCGATGGCTTGGATTGAAGCTGCACTTGATGGGCTTTTAATTTCGGGTTGAGCCTGATGCTAAGATAGGAACTTATTATATTACTAGCTGTACCCTGCCACGTTTCTCTGTGGCATATTATGGTTAAGAGGGCACTTCTGAATACATCAAGGTTCTGGCAAAATCATCTTCCTGGCATAAGGTGAAGAAGGCAGTCAGAGTTGTCGCTGGCCGATTCAGGACTCTTTCTTGCACATTTTTTTCTGTGAAATAGACACGTTGACCATTCTCCAAATGGACTGCCACGTTTCTCTGTGGCATATTGTGGTTGAACGCATAAGAAATAAGTCAAACAAAAAATAATCATTTTCATATTAATTTAATTCTTTAATACTTGTTGGTATACAATATTCTTTGTTTCTCCATTCTCCGCGTAAATATAAAGACTTTTTGGTTTTCCGACTCGTGAACACGCAACATATAATTGTCCGTGTGAAAAACAATCTTCATCCAAATCTAGACAACACAACTCCAGAGATTGTCTTTGAGCTTTATTAATTAATTGCGAACGCCAAACGAATGGGAAACTGCAATCTCTTGAACTGGCACGGTGTATCTGTCGGGATCATAGGAATCCTAGGAATGAGGACATCTTCACCTTTGAAAGGACCAGTTATGATCGTTGCTTCTACTATGTTGTTCATCAATTTCTTGACTGCGAGTCGCGTACCGTTGCAGAGTTTCGGCTGATTTATATTCCGGAGCATGATAATCGGCACACCTATTTTTAATTTCAATATGTGTGGTGGCATTCCAGGCAGATCAAGTGAGTTTAGAAATTCGGTAGGGTAATTAACTGCTTCATCTGCCTCCACAACGGTATCTATCGACTTATATGTAATTTCGTCAGTTTCTATGCTTTTTTGGATTACATGATTGAGCTGGTAGACATCTTTGTTCTTGGCAGCGAGAATCGCTCGTCCACTGAGCCAATCGTGGTTCCTATAATTTATTCGGATATTGGGGAACACTTTTTGGATAAGTTCTTCCTTCGATGTAACTAAATTACAGAAATTCCCGGGCAATACTATTTTTCTCGACGTCTCATTGACTGGCAGCTTTCCGTTCCCAATGTCCAGTAGCTGTCGTGAGAATACGTCGGCTGAGTCATTGTTCTGTAACTGGACACGCATATTCGTCTTCAACTGTAATGTACGTACATGTTTCCACAATATAGAATATTTCAGGCAAGCATTTATCTCGTCAGCTGGTGTCGATCGGGAAATCACAGGCAACGTTTGTCTGAAATCCCCTGCGAGCAATATTAACGCGTTCCCATGCATTGCTCTCAGCCGCTCAGTCTCTCGGAAGGAGGCCCGTTCTTCGTCAGTCATATTCGTAATCTTACGTCTTTTTGCTTCTGTATTGCGAATACAACGACCCAATCTCGACTTTTTTGGTGGCATGACTTCGTTTCTTACTGAACCTGAACAAAAAATAAAATTTGTATCTCCAATTTCTTCTTTCAATATGTTTTTAATGTTTGACAGGAAATGCTTTGATTTGCTTGTAGAGGGCGCAGTAGTAGGGGCACGGGGAAACGCTAAAAAAATAGATATATTCGCAACCGCAGATAAGCTATCAACATCAAAAGTAGTCAATAACCGAGCTGGAACCTCAACGCATGTTGTGTAAGAATTTGGGCTTAAACGGTTCAGAACTTTTCGAGTCTATGAAGGATGTAGACACGAACAGAGCATTTATATATATATAGATTCACTTGGAAGTTACTACGGACTGAAATGAATGATACAGATTTCCATTATATGATCTACACTCAACCTTTTATGCTTTAAAACATAAAGAAGACCGGCAGACTGCACCGATAATACTTTAATACCACCTTAGAAAATGATTAATAGGTTACATTCTATTGAACATGAATGAGTATATACCACTTCCGGCCAGGAGGCTCCCTACACCAAGCACCTAAGCTCTAAGCTCTATCAGAAAAAACAGGCATTGCGGAAAACTCACAATTACTTTATGTCATACCCTAATTGTAAATTTTAATATTATTTGATGAGCACTTCTAAGTTGCAACTCCATTATATTTTCATAAAAGAAAATACCATAGATTTTAACGTCAAGTATCGAAACAAATTTAATATATTAATAAACATCAGTATACTGAACGAAACAGAGCTGTGAATTCTTGGTTTAAAACAAAAAAAAAGTAAGAGCGAAAGTTTATCCAAATTATTGTGTTTTTTATATTTTAATAATTTATTGTGGTTCTGACAGCTACTCCCCAGTACTTAGTAACTGCGTGGCCATGTCTTCTCCAAATTCATTGAAGATGAGGAAAAACACTTGCAACGAGGAGTGCCTTCCACCGTTGAACGGGATCGTTCAGGCACCGATAATTCCGCCTTCGAATCGTCCCGGCCGCAGGACCAACGTCCTAGATGAAATTAAGATCGTGGTGAATGCCCTCATGAGGAACCGCTGCTCTTACCACTTTCGTAAACCCTTGGGCACCAATCCCATGGATGTGCCCAACTATCACATGTTAATCAAGCAGCCGATGGACTTGAGTACGATCCTGCGGCGTCTGAACAACAATTACTACTGGCAGGGCAAGGAGGCTGTCGAGGATGTGAAGCTTATTTTCGAGAACTGCAAGCAGTTCAATCAAGAGGGATCCCAGATCTACAAGGCAGGCGAGGAGCTAAAGAGCGTCTTCTACAGATATGTGGCTTCATTGGATATGACCAGAGAGAAAGAGGTGAAGGAGAATTCCAGAGGAAGGCGTCCAAACTTCCGACGTCGTCGCCTCTCCAGGAGTGCCTCGTGCCCCTCAGAATAGTCTATCCATCCTGAAGCCCCAATGAATTAACTGGCCCTGCAATATTTTCTGAAAAGCTGGTTTTTAAATTTTTAAAAAGCTTTACGAATTCTCCAGAAGAGCTACTGCGCACACTTAATATTGCGGAAATTTTAATTACTTTATGCAAAATAATATAAAAAATATAAATTACTGGGAACAAAATATACATCTTTATGCAAGGGTATTTTATTTTAATCAGAAGCTTTAAACACAGTGAAGGAATCATTTTCGACCCTACAAACCATATATATTCTTGATCAGCATCAAAAGCTGAGTCGATCTAGCCACGTCAGGTGGAAAAATAAACTTTTGAAATTTTTTCGAAAAATGAAAATTTTATAAGGCGTTACATCATTAAAATTGTCAAAAATTGGCAATAAATTCAGTTAATTAAATTTTAAAATTCAGTATGTGGATTTGTTAGCCCAATAAAAACTAGCACTGAAAAGGTTTCAAAAGGAAAATTAATGCATATTTGGTTGTGTTATGCTATTTTAAAAACTTGATTTCCCCTAAAAATTAGCATATAAAAATATAGACAGAACGTCACATTTTACCTTTTAGTTATAATGGCCACTAATGTACTACAATTATTGCTCTTTGGCTACCATTAATTGATATGATTGCACCTTGAACTTTAGCGAGCTGTTAAGCCGATTAAAATAAACGCAAGCAATTTTCACACCGAAATATATTTATATGTGTATACACAATTTATGGAACTACCGGAATGGTAATGCGAATAAATCAATCGAAATAGCCGCAAAATCAAATGATGCATAAATAAAATCCAAAACCACTCGGCGTTCCAAACAATATTTGCAGATGCGAATCACCTCGAGGTCATGCATATGCCGGTGTCCGTGCCGGTGTTCGGGGGTAATGTGACCTATGACCAGCCAGCAACCGCCATGACACTTGAAAGCAAATTAAATAGAAAATTGAGTTTTTGCGAAAGTCATCCCAGAAATGGTTGTGAAATTTTATACATAATTGAATTTTTGGTCAAGCAGCACACGACGCACACACACCGAAAATCTCTGCATACAATTACCTAAAACCAGGACTACACATGGACAGCTGAGGTCAGAGGTCAGCAGGCTGGGCGGGGCGGGGCGCGGCGTGGCCTGTGGCTATTGCACCACACGCCAAACAATCGGCAACCGAATGTCATCTTCAATTTCAAATTCAATTATAAAACAAATTGGTTTGAGAGCAAATAAGCACTCGCACACAGAGAGTGAGAGAGATAAACTCAGCCAGGACGAGGACGAGAAGGAGGACTCGTCCTCTTGGCGACATCAAACGGCAAATCCATTCATCCACTTTGCAATTGTGTCCGGTGAAATAAATGTAATGAAATGTTAACAAATGACAACAGGCTGGCAAACACACAAGAAACAAAACCACAAGGGTGGCTGCTCCGAAGCCGGCCGAAGGACTCTGCCCTCCTTCGCCCAGCAAGCACCAGGACTACGTATCGAATTAGTTTGATGAGATTTATTGGCTCAAGTCCCACTTGACCAGCGGCCAGACAATTATGGATTAGTGCCATTTGTTCTAGCATCGCCGGGACTTGATATTCCTCCACATGGTCGCATGACATTGATGATGCCACAGCCAGCCAACGATGATTATGCGGCATAATGTGGCACCGATTTTCAACGCCTTTGATTGCGGCATCGCCATTATCTAAAAGGCATCCGATTACCTCCACGTCTACCATGTCCAACCAACACCCAATGCCTCGGATACCAACCCCCCACAATGGTGAGCCGTGTCCTTGGCCAACCCACGCACGTCATCGCCAGGAACGGCCCATGTCACTGGTCCTTGGGGGAAATTTGTCAGAGCATCAGCGGCGTTAAGGTGCCAATTAAGGGCTTTTTAGTATCAATTACAAAATCGCACGTTTCCACACCTTTATCAATGTGCCGGCGGTCGTTCGTATATGCATGAGTGTGTGTGTGGGCGTTATCCTTGGGGTCCTTCGATGGGGAGATGCTCGAATTACGTTAACGCCACTGACATGCTGGTCAGCATGCGGATGAATGTGGAGCTGTTGCCCAACTCCTTTGCCTTCTCTTCGAAATTGTTTTGTGGCATTGTTTTTATCGTCCTGTTTGCTGGTTCACTCTTCCTTTATTTTTTCTTTATTGTTTTTTGCAGCTCCCCAGTTTCTGCTTGTCACTCGGTCTTTGACAGCCTGATTTCGCCAGTGATTTATTGTCCTGTCGGTGGTAAATTGGGTTTGTCATTAAAGTTGCTGGATTTGGCAATGGCATAATCGAGTGATTTCCAACTCCATGCCATTGGGATGCTATATCCGATATTTGGATTGATTTCATTTCCGTCATGGAAGAGAGGTCAAGGCTAGCGATGGACACTATTATATATGAGGATAATGCAAAAATTAGATTAATCTTTAGTGCTATTAAAGAAGATGTATAATTTCTCTCACAAATATTGAGGTCACATCTTCCTTCTTTTGCCTCAGAGATTTTCCCAGACAACGCCTTTAGTCACACTTTCACACATGTGTTTCTGAGGCTTGATCCGCTCAGGAGTCAGACTCTGATTGGACCCAGCTCCGAGCACTCGACTCCAGGTGGCACTTTCAACGCGTCACATCATCCAAGCCGGCAGCTAGTCGGCTATACATAGTTCGGTGTAATCCACACCCGAATCGCCTGGCAGCGTGTCTAAGTTACACCCAATTTCGACTCGTATTACAAATTAAAATGTGCCGCAACCCACACACTTTTCCCGGAGACCCATTTCCACGACCGAGAGATGGGCGAGGACGGGGTGACAGCGTTTTAAACTGATTAGCTCCTTTCTCCTCCTGCGGCTGCCACGGGTCAATGAGATGCTAAGCATATCCCTAAAGCATGACAGTCACTGAAAGGGTGCCATCGCAGCAGAAGCAGCCGCATCAACCTTCAAAGATTGTTTAATTTTTAAGCAGTCGAAAGAGAGAGCTCCTGAATGGGTATGGGATGGGATGCCCTGCCTTGTGGCTTTGTCATTTCGGAGAACGGGGATGGATTTGATGGATTTTTTCTCTGCTCAGCTCACTGAGCATATCCTGGCGGCTATTGATTTATTTGCCTTCGATTCCGAAATAGTAGTTTTTTAAAGTTTCAGCTAAACGCTGAAAAACTGTCATCGGGGCCGCCGTCGAGGCTGTCGGTTCTATGATTAATCGCTGGTAATTATGTTGATTAATTGCCTTATTAGAAGCATTTGGCTCAAGGCGTGAGAAACCGAAATCCGGCCACTGCCATGGATCATAATTCTTGCCGTGATAATTCCGGGGAGCGTGCTGAGATTTTTGGGGGCAGTGTTTTAAAATAGAACACAGCATCGTTCCATCTTGTGCAGTAAGCATCAGACCGGGGCGGGTCCCCTCTTTAATTACCAGAAAAACCATTTGGCGCAAATGTTTTTCTTTGTTTCGCCCAACCGCCGGGCAAACAGAAAAGCCAATGGCTCCTGCTCCTGCTTGTGTTCCTGCTTCTGCTCCTGCTCCTGGTCAAGCAATAATATTTCATTACACGCTGCGCTTTTCAGCTTCTCTTTCGACTGGGCACTTAAAATTAAGCGTGCCCAAATCCCCAAAGACCACAAGCCCAACATAAACAAACTAACCGAATGAATGCAGCTCCTTCCCCAAGGAATTGGCCAGGAGCGGCGGAAAGGAGCGGCCCGCCGCAATCATAAAAATAATAACCACATTATTGTGTTTAATAATGAAAAATATCATTTTCGGCATAACTTTTGGCTTTTGTTTGAGCAGTCAGCCCACAGCCACACCCCCCAGGACCTCAGGACTCCTGGATCCCAGCATCCTCCAAGGGATGCCCGCATTTTGGTTGGTTCGCCAGCAGCAAGTGAGCGAGCAACCCTTAAAACTCGCCTAAGCATATTTTCTAAATTATTGCTGGTCGTTCATGTTGTTTCATTCACTGCCATCGAGTGCCTTTTGCTTAATTTGTGGGTGCACCCACCTCCTTGTGCTCCTGCTCCTGCTCCCCCTCCTCCTGCCACCCACTGACTTGCCATCGCCCTTGGCTGCCATCAAAAAGGGGTGCGTCTTGAGTACCTGCCATTCCGGATGGAGCCACCCCCTTCAGCGAGGACTTTGTTGTTTTTATTGGCATGTTGACTTTGGAAATTAGTTTTTAATATGCGCAAATACTTTTGCATATCGGGCTCAAGTGCTTCCGATAAAAAATGCGCCATGTGCCCTTATCAGATAAACGTACGCGTGTGTATGCAGCCATAAAAAGTGTAAATATTTGTAAACAACCAAAATGCAATCCACAAAATTGTTTACCTCCTTACCCCCGGCTCTCCTGCGCGCCACAGGCGGCGGCCAGGGTGAAAAATCCCTGCATATTGACATCAATTAAAGGGAATCAAGTCGACACTCGCACAAACAACGTAATTCACAACAAATGTGTTTGAAAATTGGTCGATCCGACAACAGGAACTATTCATTAGCCAACCCCCTGGAGGCAGACAGGCGGCACAAAAAAGGTTCAACAACGGCCAAGCCACAGCATCCCAGTCGGGGGTACAACGATCTCTCGCTCTCACTTTCGTTCAGCAACCCTTGTTCCTAAAAACTTCATGTGGCCAAGAACAGGAGCAGGAGCAGGAAAAAGGACCAAGAAGCACAGGGACCAGAGGCGACAGGCGGCCACATTTGAGTGCGTTGATTTGCGCCTTGAGCTGTTTTCGGGGCGGCCCGTAGAGGTCAACGGGAATAGTTCTATAATGAACAAAACACATTGTAAATTGTCCTGCCGGCATGGTAAATGGGAGCAAGTGTGCACAGGGACCTAAAAATGGGTGCACATGAAGAAATTGAAATGGAACAATAATATTTTTGCTTAATAATTTATATATTTTGACAAGTTACCTTAGTCAGAGGTAAATGAAATAGTTGAAGATAAACCTATCCGACTTTAAAATTTGTTTATTATAAGTTAAAATTTAAAATGGAACCGCTTATTCAATTTATAAGTCTTTTAATTATAAGCCAAACTAGAAAGGAAGTTAACTTCTGAAAGCCGAAGTTTGAATACCCATGCAGTTTCGATTGATCATAATTAAGCCAAAAATAAATTAATTATAATTCGGAAAC